TCGTGATTATATAGTTGCCAGCCTCAGCTACAGGTCACCATTCTGGGGCTTACCCATACTCTCTTTGTACAAATGACGTATCATAACACTGTTTTCAAAAAAGCGCATGCACAAATAAATTTGTCAGGTGATTCACTGTAAGTATGACCAGAGTGAACAGAAAACAGCAAAACACCCTTTCAAGATCCAGTTTGCTTGATTCAAATTGCAGCATTTTTAATTTTTGTTCAGTCTTATCTTGCTTTCTGTGAGCAAGAACTGAACCCTATTTTGCTGAAGAATTTTGCACATCATTAGCATCACTTACTAACTCTTTTCATACTCCCTCATCTTTAGTCATTTTATAATATGGGACATTTACGATGCTTGTTATGGCACCTTCTGTGTTCAGGCTCAGAAAAATCCTTCTCATCAGCTTCCACAGAGCACAGTCTGCTATTGCTGGTCAAAGCAGTACATGTGGTGGTGGTGGGGAGGGAATGGCAAGCTGCCAGAGACAAATCCCATGCAAGCAGTTCCATACATCTAGCTCTTGCATTTTATAGATTATCCACTTTATTCTTAGGATGCTCCAAAAGTACAGGGGCGTTTTAATGTCAAATACAGTTTCTTGCTTATCCCTTCCCCATGGTGGGCTGACTGGATATTCAGTCCACGTAACTGAGGTTTAGAGCACATGCTGTAGTGACAGATTTCAACTGAGATTTGTGTGTTGTGGCAGGACTTTAGCTTCTGAATAATCATTCACCAGAAAGAGTAATAAAGTGTCAGAGCTCATGACTATTTTAGAAGCTTATTATTTCTACCAATGTTGTAAGAGGTTTTTTGTTGTTTTTTTTTTCTCAACTGCTAAGAGGGAAAGCAAAATTGATTTGGGAAATAGTTCCTGTATACTGATGTTAAACACTAACATGAAATACTTGATTTAGGAAGTGTTAGGTATGTCTAACATTTTGTTATAGTCCAACAGATTCTGAGAAGTTTACAAACAGCCTTTCCTATTTATCCAGCCATATTAAAAATTATCCTGCTGGTATGCTTTTGCATCAAGACTAAATTTGGTTTGCTAATAGTAATGTCACATTTCAGTAACTAGAGACTCTAAAAGAGTCTTCTTTCATCATTTTGGAATAACACCAGTTTTCATCAAGGTGGATTTTTTTTTTTAGTATATATTGGCACACAATTAACCACTGCTTGCAGCAGATCATAGAATCATAGAATGGTCTGGGGTTGGAAGGGACCTTAAAGATCATCTAGTTCCAAGGGCAGGGACGGCTTCTGCTAGATGAGGTTGCTCAAAGCCCCATCCAACCTGGCTTTGAACACTGCCAGGGATGGGGCATCCACAACTTCTCTGGGCAACTTGTTCTAGCACCTCATCACCCTCACAGGAAACATTTTTTCCCCTTATATATGTAATCTAAATCTACCCTTATTCAGTTTAAAGTCATTCCCCCTTGTCCTGGCACTACATGCCCTTGTAAAAAGTCCCCTCCAGATTTCTTGCAGGCCCCCTTTAGGTACTGGAAGGCTGCTGTATATGATATCACGTAATCTGCTCCACCACAGAAAACACGCATAAAATCCGGAGAAAAAGCGAGAAACTAGAGGAATGTTGAACTTGCTGGAGCTGTAAAGCCACCAGCCCGGGGAAGCTGTGGGCTACAAGGTGCGGGTTGGGGGGAGGCGGATCCCAGCGGCTGCGGAGCGGCGCGGTGCAGTACGGGTGTGCCTCCGCCGGGCGGCGAGCCCCGGCTCCGCTGCAAGCCCCGGGGTACGGCGAGCGCTGCGGGAGCCTGAGGGCCATTAGGGAAAGCCAATAATTGCACGGCTGGGTTTGCAGTAATAACAGCGACTTAAATCAGTAAGCCTCCGGACTATTCTGAAGTTAAAACAGCGCAATAAACTATCAAATAAGGCGTCTAAGCGGATCTTAAAGACACAAGAAGGATTTTGCCTGGCAATAGTAAAATTTCACGAGGTTATTTGAGTTTTAGTATGCAACCGAAGCCTTAAGAGATTCACGTGAATGCTACCAAAAAGGTCTAAGCTCCTTAGTTCCTCAGAAGTGGAAAATGAGATTCCAGATTTCCGATGCCTGCGCTCATAGCTAGGAAAGAGGGGAAAGAAGAGGTTTGGGTTGAAACAACTAAAACACTGTCTGACTGAAAGAAAAGTGGGATATAACACTTAAGTAACAACTGGTTTGTTATTAAATTAAGACCTTAAACACAACTATAGGGGTCTTACTAAAACCAGTAACAGTGTGGTCTGCCCTTTATCTAGCAATAAAAAACAAACAAACAAAATATGTGATCTTCAGTCTACAAAGTTAATAAAAATAAACTGTGAGAAAATGTATAGTAATACACTTCAGTATAATAAATATTTCATCAAAATAATGTGATTCAGCTATTCCTTCTTGAGATTTTTCTTGACATTCTTAAACTGGTATTATTTATGAACGCAAGCGTCCCTGTATTTAAAGGTGTTAAGAGCTCATGTTCTTGCAAGTTTACTCAGTACAGCTGCTGAAGTCTTAGTTCTTCTTCCACTACTCTAAGGAAAATTAAATACTGCAGATGTTATCCTTCATAATGCCATATACACAGAATCAGTTCCTCATTTGCAGGCAAGTTATTTAGTTATTTATTTTTTCCTACTTAGCTTCAAGGCAATCATGATCATTAGGCAATGCCAGGGTTAAATAAACATGACCTAAAGTGATCACAAGTCAGAAGTTATTTGAAAGAGATATTCTCACTTCAATAAGTGGAAATCTAGGAACTGCACTTGAAATATTTCAAACAAACCCCTCTCTTCAGATGCAAAGTTATTAAAAACACAAATAAAAAGGCAGAAATATACCTGAAATTAAAATATTTCCTATCTTTGAGACGTATCTGAAATAGATGGGATACCTTGCCAGGAGTTTAAAGATGCTAGTGCTCACAATCAATAAATTAAAGAACCCCCACAGATTAAAATAAAAGACAACAGCCAAAAAAAAAAAAAAATCACAAAAACGAGGAGAAGAAATCAGTACTCTCTAAAATAGTTTTATATTTACCCATTCCAGTTTTATATGTCTGATCCTCTCTCATGCCACTGCAGCACCCATATGTAAGAATATGAACTACCCTGTTCATGCACGTGCACTGACAGCATTTCTGCAGTGTGCAGCCTAGACAAGCCCACCTGCCAGGAATTCCCCTAAGGACAACTGCATGAAACGTAAGAAGATTTGCATCCATTCATAAAAGATCACTTTGCTGAAGACGAAGTCAATGTGGGACAGCTTACAGGAACTTGGGGGACTTTCAGACTCGATAGCAAATTTCTCCAGGGCCCCAAGCCTGTGCAATTCCCAATTCTCATTGAGAAGGGGAAGACTGAAGAGCAAGTGCCTTGCTGGCCCTCATGGCAAGTAGAACAGTCTCTTCAGAACAATCTCTGCTAACCAGTTATTACTGCCTGACACTGTTTCACTTCACTAATCTTTCCTCGCATTGTGAAATCTCTCCTCCTCCCATCCCATAAAAAGGGAAAAATGTCTTGAAATCCTTTAGTAGAGAATTATTGCTAAAGAGCGTTTGAAATCTAAGAATGCTCTCTGCGCCATGATCTAGTACAAAAGCTAATTTCACAGCTCTTATCCCTTGCTGTAAATACACTGTTACCACTCTCAACCGCTTTGATACTTCCCATGCTTCTTGTAATTATCCTCCCAGTCTGTCACTGGAAGCTGGGTGTTTCCTCAGGCTTGTGTGTGATGATAGGTCCGCTGAAGTCAACAGAAGTCCACCACCTACCCCACTACCCTATTCCAGGGTCTCCTTCCCCCAGATTAAACCTCAGTACATCTGAGCATCTATGCATCAGCTGTTGTTATAAGACAATACTAACATCCCACAGCCAATTTGCCATGGGTAGAGATGATTTAACAATGAAAAGAGAAATGTAACAAAATTAAAAGTAATTGGAAAGTCATGCATCTTTATCCCTGTTGTGTACAGCACAAGCATCTTATGAAACACTGCAAATACTGATTGGAAAAGTATGTCTCAAATAGTATTTATTTAAATACTGCAGAATAGTAGGCAGGAATAAGATTACCAGTAAAATCTGGAAATTTGTATGACAGCTTTTCAAAACACAGCCTTCTTCAACCTTAAACCACAAGGAGGTTTTCAGAGCTACAGGTGGGAGCTGGGAACATTTGTCTGTCCTTTTCATCTTAAAAACTCTTGAGCACATCTTTTAATATGGGTCATTCAGAATTTCAGAGAGTATATGATATATTTTAGTAAAGAGAAGCAGAAGGTAAGGAAGAACGCATTACCTAGTTTTGTTTAAATAGAAGGGAGTGTAGCACAATAGCTAGGCATACAACCAGCTGAAAAGCACTCTTATCTGTCTCATGCACTAGGTATTTTTATTTTGCAATTTCTTACTTATAGTAAGTGTGCTTATTAGTGGGTTTCTGCTTTGTTTTCTTTCTAAGACATTATATAAAAGGAATTAGGGAGTCAGAGCCCTCCAAAGCACCCTAAGCACGTGAGAAAACTCTTTCACCAGGTTCTTAGGTACAGACAATGAAAGGAAAGATGCATAAAACCGACAGCGCTCGAACAATCCTCCTCCTCAGTCATCTGTAGCCTCTGCTACCTATGTTTGTGGTTGTGGTCAGCAGAGTTGTAACTGCTTCAGTTTCTGAACATCTCTGGGTTTTTTCTAAGACGTATTTAACTACCAACGCATACAAAGGCAGTTACCCAAGGCTGAATGGATTTTTCATCCTGAACTCTTGTACTGGTCCTTTAACTTTTTATGACTCATAGCTTAAGTATTTGGGAATTCCCCTCTAAATATGAGTTTGACACACTTGCCTTATGGAAAGTTATTTTATTCAGAAAGTAACAAAATGCAACATTCATGCAATACCCCCGACTATATTTAGCAGCACACAATTGGTCTTTTTTTTTTTTCCCAATAAAGTGTCTAATTAAAGACAGATTTAAAAAAAAAGAGTAAAAAAAATGCAAGAACAAGACTGAACAGCAGCAGTAGATGCATTAGAGACAATCACAGGGCTACACACCCAAGCAAGTCAGGCTTTTTTTTTTAAAACTATTCAAACAATGCTAGAGCTGTTTACCTCCCCCCTTGCACCCCCCAGCTTCATGTAAGAATATGCAGCTTCTCTCTTACCTGCGTGCTGAAGTCCCTTCTTGGTGGACTGACTAGTCATCAGCGATCACCTGACTGAAGCCTGGAAAGAAATTAAAATAAAATCAGCTGACCACCCTTGCTCACTGGCTTCCAGCTTAAATACTCCTCTCCACAGCACTTTGTCATGTGAGGCAGGACAGAACCAGCTGTCATTGCTTCAGAAAAAGGGAAATGGGCCCCTCCGTTTCCACCTCCTTCCTTCCTCCTCTCTCACTCTTTCCTATCTGTCCCTGCCTCCAACCTCCTCGCTTTCTCATTCTTCCACTTTGCTCATTCACTGCCCGCCCGCCTGGCCAGGGTCTCCCAGGGGAAGCCGCATTCCACAACGTACAAGCATTTCCCCTGCATCTCGAGGTTTCTCAACAAGCTGCCTACACACTTCTACTGGGGGGGGGGGGAAATCAGAAAGAAACAGAGAAAAGGCACCACATTCCACAGCCCTCAGTCAGCCCTGGCAGACTACGAGACATTTTCAGTCACACAGCACAAAATGCATTAGTCAGAGCTGAAAGACCACACACTTTGTACCACTACCATGCTAACAGAGAATGGGCTGAGCAGAGCTACAGGAAAAAGGAAAGGAGGGGTTCCTATCGGTGCTTCCATTTTACATGGGGTAGCCACCTAAATATATGAAAACTTCACAGGAAAAGGCCCAAAGTTACCATTCCCGGCAGAAACAATGTGGATGTGGGCAGTAGAGAAAGCTCCCCGCTCACAGAACGCGACCTTTTCCAAAAGGACTCCCCCTCCAGCGGAATGTGTTATTCCAAAGACTGCAAGACATTATCTAAATCAGAACTTCTATCTCCCCAATGGTTTGTTCGTAGGAAATACAAGCCTAGAAAAAGTGAAAGTAATACTGCATGATTCAGATTCCCTGAAACCACATACACTTTCAATTCAAACTTTTCTTCAGTGTTCCTTATAGTTCTGCAACTATACCCATCTATGGAGTTTTCTTTTCTCTACTTACGCAGTTTCAACCCTCCATGTATGTGGAGAATCTGATCAGCAAGAAATAAGAAGAGAGTTCAGCGTAAAAACCCCTCCGTCGTAATGCAGATGACCTAATCTCTCATCTATCTGCTCACTGCTTCCGTCCCCCACGCGCACTTATCTATTGCTCGAAGGCATTTTAGAAGGACGCACATGGTTCAGGAGAAAACACCCCTTTTAACTCCCATCAGAGCGAGTGAATGCACTGTACTGGAGCACATGCTTCTGTCCACTGACACCAGTACCACAGAGCCTGTCCCTGAATTTCCCACTCTGCGCAGGGACTGTCCCTAATGCATCCTGCAAAACTCAGGGGCTTAAGTCAGTGTCAGAAAAGGTAGGGAGGTGGGGAGAGAAGAGGGGGAGAACCCTTAACTGTCTGCATTGGAATTTCTTTTTAGGAAAGTCCACGCTTTAATGAAAGACTGATACTAGATACCACAAAGAAACTTTTATTTCTGTACGCACATGACTCAGATGTATTTTCTGTGTGGGTTATGTGGTTATGTTATGTTTCATCTCAAAAAACTGTCTCAAAGAGACCTTTAAACGTAAGTTTTAAGAAAAACTTGATGTGTTTATGTACAATGAGTGTTTTTAAATTGCTTTTTATTGCACAATGTTATATAGAGACACTGATGTCTGTTCTCAATACAGATATGATCTGCATCTAATGCTAAATTATAATCATCTGTAAAAAATGTTTATTCTAAATTATTTCCCTAAATAGTTCCCAGCAAAGAAACAAACTGAATCCTTTAGCAAAACAGACCCTCTTAGTTATAATACTATTTTTCTTCCCTTATTTTCGTGATCATGAAAATATATTTACTATGTTATTGACTTGGACTCATTAGTTTATAAAACAAATGGTAGCTGCTGCTGTGCAGCATTTCAGCAGAGGAAGGCTATCCAGAACTGCCTGAGAGAGTGAACACTGTCGCCATTATAACAAAAGCATTAAAATGAATAATTCATGAGCAGAGGAAGTACCCTACCATTAAAAGGCACCGACTATTTCATGAATTGTCCAAAAGCTACTCGTTTTACTGCCCAGTTCCTTTAACTACTTAGTTATTCCTCATTTTTCTAAAATGGCATAGAGTAGTAATTAGCAGATACACAGGGACCAGTTTTAGGAGATTTTCCTGAGAAGTAAGAAATAAAAGCTGAAAAGCAAGCCAGAGAGAGGAGGGAGGGGGAAAAGAAAAGAAAAAAAAAAAAAAGTGTTTATGTTTGATGATGGATATATTAAGGAAACGGGACTTCAAGAGGCTTTTCCAAACTCCGCTTTCGAATCTTGAAAAGGAAGAACATAGCAATCTGTCCTTTGCCTTTATCTGGCACCTTCCTTTTCAGGATCCCAAAGCATCGTCACAACACCTAGGAATTAAAAGGCCTCACTACTGAGTACCTGCAGAACTTTTCTCCTGTTTATAGAACCTAATGCTTCAAGAAGACTAAATTATTTTCTCCAGGTCATACAGGAAGGCTTGGAGACAGAAGCAAGAACAGAACTTCATCCCCTGGTTACCAGTCCTGTGCCCAACAAAAGGACTAACTACCTTGTTTTACACTAACAAGCATCGCAAGGTTCAACAGTCTGGCACGTTTTAACCTAATACAATGAACTGTGGTGCACCAGTATTTTCTGCTGGGATAGGGAAACAATGTGATCCATTAATCTAACTTTACACCAGAATTATTTACAAACTTAGGTTTTGAATAACATTTTTCAAGGAATTTGGCTTGGAATAGCAAAGTACATCTGTTCACATTTCACTGCTGCAGGAAAAGCACATTCTGTGCCTGGAAAAACATTTATTTATAATATACATTTTATTTATTATACACATTTTCAAACTCTTCAAGACATTAAAAACTGGTACACTAACATTGATAAACTTCTCAGATTTCATTTGAGCCAACATCTAGTTCTTGAAACAATTAAATTCAAGAAATTTTATCTTTAAAGTAATTTTGTCAAAGGGACAGCATTCTATAATGCTGAGCAAAAGACATCCTAATTATCTTTACACACATGGGTCACTTTTAGGAGTCCTGCTCTCTTGGGCTATTGGGATGAACTGAAATGCAGTTCTTACTCCAAGGCTCCCACTGCTACAAGTTCACTGCTTATGTGGTAGAAAGCCTATTAATACTGAGATACATGACCCCAAAGTAGACCATTATGCACAGAATGATAACATTAGGTGTAATTTTGCAAGACCAGACAATGTCACTGATCAAATTACTGATGCTCCTGGGCTTTTTATTTTTAAACCAGTCAACTTGTTTGCAGAGCCTTGGTAGCCACTTTTCTGATTGTGACTTTAAAACCTTCAGTTCTCAAAAGAATTTACCAATAGTATCTACTTGAGAAAGATGCCTTCCTGATCTGGTATTGGATGGATGACTTTCTGCCAGAAATTTGCCATTCAGCCAACTCAGAGCTTATCCCACAGCAAGTCCTTACAAGAATGAGGAAATGCTCTTAAGCAACTAGAACAATCTGTACAGTTAAACGTATTTTTAGTTTGTAGTCCCCGAGGAGCTGTGGGGAGAATTGAACTACAAAACAAATATAAAAAACAAACCTCACACTTGGCTGTTAGATATAATTAACATAGCACAGTTCACAGCAAGCAGGTTTACTGATAGACTGTTTCAGCACAAATGACCATTAATGGTTTGGTAACTTGTAGCAGGAAGAAAGAGGAGGAAATGCCACAAAATACTTAGGAAAACTTTTCCAAATATGACACGAGAGTTCACTTTTTAAAAATCGCACCCAAAAAAGCAGTTAAAGAAGAAATGTTAGAAACACTTCAAGTTTATGATCTTCAAAATATCTATCCTGAATCAACATTACAGGAAGAAATTCTCCATTGATGTAAACTATCGTGAGTACGTTCACCAAACTGGCAACCTTTTCCAGATTAGCAAGTCACTAGCTAAACACAAGTGTTCTTGAAAACAAGTAGCATCAAATAATTTATTTCAGGAAAAACAATGTCAGAAGAGAAAGTTTACCACTAGTTCTACCTCCTTCTAGATAGGTAAAAAAAATAAAAAATAAAATAAATAAAATTTCCAAGTGCAAGGAAATTAATCAGCATTTTCCTACTCAGACAAGCAAGGAAAGCTGGATGGGAAAAGAAAGGAGTAGCATTGTACCAAGTGATACTTTAGTACACTAATAACTATCAGATTGGTACACTGTTCAGGATACATGACTGTCTCAAAACTATATTATGGCCCTAAGCAGGAATGAATAGACTTATTTATAATTACATATCAAAGTAATGGTAAGGTAGCAATTAAGTGCAAAAGAAAAAGTTAAATAAATCAGAGGGAAAAGAAGTGTCCAAATGTCCAAGAATAATCCATCTGATTGCAGTATGCCAGAAGTCTGGTCAAACAATGTACACAGATTTGTATCTAAGGGCTTAGACATGTTTAGAGAGTTTCGATATTTGGTTTGCCTGCATAGCTATTTTCTAAGAGGCTATAAAATGAGTAGACTTATGTTGCACAGAGCAGTGGTGTTCAGCCATACTAGCTGTTTACTTGTATCAGCAAGCATTAGTCACATAGACTCTGCTATGCAGCACAAATACAGGAATTGTTCACAATCCTTTCAGTACTACGGAGGAACAGTAGAACTATTAACTACGGCTTTTAAAAGAAATAATTTTTATACATCAATATAAATTGTTATGAATTAATAATACCTTTTAGAAGATATTTTTATGGCTAAATAAACAGAGCAGAAGCAACAGTAGTGAAGGGCAGTAGAACGGTAATTTTCACCTTCTCTGTTGTTAAGAAATACAGTAGAGATGGCATCTCACCACGACAAGATCACGGAATGTCTGAAATTGGACGAGACCCCTGAAAGTCATCTGGTCCCATCTCCCTGCTCATGCATGACCACCTAGAGCACACTGCCCAGGATTTGGTCCAGGCAGCTTTTGAATAACTGCAAGGATGGAGACTCCACCATCTCTCTGGGCAACCTGTGCCAGTGCTCGCAGTGAA